ACCAGTTCGGCTTCCAGCTTTATTTCTAAAGCAGGCCACATTCATCTTTGACAAAGGCTATCTCCACCTAGAGCTTGTGCTGTGTTCCTCACTTCAGATATTCTTCCTTTTTTCTCTTATTCAAATTCCATCTTTTTAGAAAAATTTTTTATAATGATTCTTTTTTTGTGTGTGTGTTGCTGGGGATTGGGCTCAGGGCCTTGTACATGTGAGGCAAGCATTCTACTAACTGAGCTATATCCCTAGCTCCATAATCTTTTTAAAATTTTTTTTATTTTTAGTTGTAGATGGATAGCATGCCTTTGTTTATTTTGATGTGATGCTAAGGATGGAACCCAGTGCCTTACTGGTGCTAGGCAAGAGCTAACATTAAGCTCAGCCCCAGCCCCAAATTCCATGATCTTTAAAAGTTGATTCAACTCCACCTCCCTGGTGCACCTTCCCTGATGCTTCTGGTACCTTCCCAGGTACCAGAAGCATCACTTGTCTTCATCACTCATTCTGGCTCTGAGACCCAACTATCTTTTATTTTTTGGTGGTGCTGCTGGGGATTGATTGAACCCAGGGCCTTTTGCATGCAAAGCAAGCATTCTATCAACTGAACTACATCCCCAGCCCCCTATATTATCTCTATATTAGCTCTTCAACCAAAGGGGAAATTCCTTGATTGGTACTTTTGGTGCCTAAAATTGAGTATAAAATTATAAGCATATGTATCACTTTTTTACAGTTTTTATCTACAGAAACAGCAATAACTAAAGGACAAGTTTACTATGCTTAAGTGTCTCTCATTTTCTTACAAAGCTAACTGATCTTGCTATCAACCCCTTTAATGCATGCTCTTTACTGTAACTGAAATATATGAAGTCTGGAATTTTCTTCAAACAAGGACTTATTCCCTTTAATCTCATTAGATCTTGGGTAAGTTTCTCTTTTGTGATGAATTTTTACTTTTTTACAGTTAGATCCCCCTCCCAGGTTTTAATGGAATACTTTTGAATGTTCAATTTTCTTAAAATATTTTTTAAAAATCAGCAAAGTCTTTCTTCATTGTGTATGAATTTTCCTTTGTCTCTCCTTTGCCCAGATATAGGAGAAGGGATTGAGAAGTGGAAAGATATATGCTTTTAAAAGGCCACACTGAAGAGGGTGTGGTGGCACAACCCTGTAATTCCAGCTACTTGCAGCTACTTGGGAAGCTGAGGTAGGATCCCAAGTTCGAGGACAATTTCAGTTTCAGCAACTTAGTGAGACCCTGTCTCAAAAAAAAAAAAAAAAAAAAGGAATAAAAATGGTTGGGATGCAGCTCAGTGATAAAGCGCCCTGTGTTTTACCTCACCCCCCACTCGTATCATGCAATCACCCTGGGCTAGATGGAGAAAAGCAGAAATTATGGTGCTATCTTCCTCTACTGCAGAGACAGTAGTTTAGCTCTGCTTAAGATTACTATTGTGCTTGAGTCCCAGGTTTACAAACCCAAGGCAAGTGTAATGATAATGATAATAATAAATATTATTATTATTATTATTCATGGTTTTCTTCTACCATATTACAGTAGCAACCATTTATTAAGTACTTACTGTATGTCAGACAAATGTTGGTTGCTTTATGTTACCTAATTATTACTAAAATCAAATTTGTGACATATTTCTCATTTTACAGAGACAACTTAGTAACTTGAACAACTAATAAGTGGCAAACACAGAATTTGGATACAGAACTCATTCTAAAGCCTATTCTTTAGACATTGCACTATACCTTGTAATATCAGTGTCTTTTGGGGGCAGGAATTCTAATGGAGAATTTGGGGGCTTGCATTCATAACTTTGGCAGTTATAGGGGAGAATAATAATAATAAAAAAATGTTCCAATGTACTTGGAGAGGCTCACCAGCACCACTCCCCTATATATAGTTGCTCCAGACCTAGTTATTGGTAGTTCATCACTCACAATTTACATTTTAGTGTGCCTACATTTTTGTGATGGAATATCTTGATCACATTTGTATTGTTAGATGGGGAGGAAAGCTAAGAAGTTTTTACCTTTGTCAAGGACTGGGACAAAAGCCACACCATGAGATAAATCAACACAAGAAACACACCAATGTGCATACACACACACACACACACACACACACACACGTGTTATATAGCTCATAACTAGAAATTATACCCTGTGTTTTTTATCACAAACCCCAGAAACTTATGTAAGACTGTAGTTTTACTGCTGGGCCAATATGTGAATTCAAGCCTCAGCTGTTAGTTTACTTATTGAAAGAAGAGTCAATAGAAGGAAATTCCAGTGTGACAAGAATTTTGACAACCCCTGTGTTATCTCTACCAGGATCTAGTTACATTGTGCTCTTCCAGGAAGGATGTAGCTGTGTATGCAGGTTTAATAGGGCAGCTACTCTTTTCTAGGCACATTACATGTGGATAGTTCAATAGTTGTTTTGTGTATATTAGGACCATGGGATGAAAGAGGCAGCTATTCCTCATTTTTCTAAACTTGAGAGTTTAATATACTATGCTCTTTACTTAGTCGTTAATTCTTAACAGTCTAGGGGTTGCTATGTAGATTTAACAAGTGTTTTACATTTAGTTGGGCAGAAGTTTATTAATTAGTATTTATCACCAACCAGATACAATTATATAAATATGCATTATATAAATTATATTAAGGACAATTGTGGTTTATGAGTTAATGACTTAGTTTTCATTCTTGTATCATTTTAATATTAAGGTGTTTGAAATGTTTTCATAAGCCAGTTTTTAGTAACACTAATTTAGGGGAGCTGGGGTATGGTTTTCATTGGCACTGACAGTTGTGCTGCTGTAGAAAGAATCTGTACCAATGTCTTCTTTGATATAATGAGAGCAACTATGAACAGAGTAGGGAGGAAGAGCAGGAAGAAAAGATTAACTTTAAACAGAGACATGAGATGGGAGGGAAAGGGAGAGAAAAGGGAAACTGCATGGAAATGAAGGGAGACCCTCATTGCTATACAAAATTACATATAAGAGGTTGTGAGGGGAATGGGAAAATAAACAAGGAGAGGAATGAA